TTTCTGACTCCGGTCTCCTGCCGACTACGGTCCTTCAGGCCAAACAAACCTGTATATGTAACTCTTACCATGTAATGCAATCTATATGACGTACATTTGTTACATCAATCCAAGGCCTTCTCCTAAGGAAGGGCCTCATTTGTAATCGACTACAAATACTAGTGGATTCATTCAAACCGGGCCAGGCCCCGTGGTTTTTCTCCCTTTTTCAGGGGTTTTCCACGTAAAAACTTTGGTGTCTCTTCTGAACGCTACACCCTCTCACTTATCTGATTGTGTGCTGGATCTTCGTACAACGCTAAGACGTTAAACTATATATTTCTCTACCGCCGCGAATATTCCAGGACGCAACACTTATGATCAAATTGTTAACATTGTTTTCATGCAAATTAGATATGGAAATATATTTTAAAAGAAAAGTTGAAGGAGATAAGTAGAAAATTTTATGTAGGGAAAATAATACAAAGATCAAACAAAGTCATGTAGAAATAAATTTTATGGATATCCCCACTGATCCTAGATTAATATTTTTTTTAGATTATCATCCTAATGAGAGTGATAGTGTGCGGAGAAACTACTTGCTAAAAGGATTATGTCAACCATATGTTCATGAATTCTCGTGCACACAAATTAGAAATAAATTTTAAAGATTTAATATTGCATGGTTTGATGATCATAAAACTTGGTTAGAATATAGTACAACCAAGTATGCACCTTATTGTTTAATTTTGTTATCTTTATAGACCTCAAATTAAAAACCAAGCTGGTGATAATTTTGATATAGGGTTTTATATATATATATATATATATATCATATTTATATTGGTAATATCAACGGCTCTTGTAATATTGTTAGACGAAAATGTGAAGATTTAATGAATCAAGAAAGAGATATTAGATTTACTTTTGAAAGACATTCTAATCAAAATCACAAAGATTATCGTATTCGATTAAATCCTTCTACAACATGGATTAACATTTCGTGGGCATGATGAATGAGAGGATTCCGAAAAATTAAAGAAATTATTTTAAACTTTTGCCCTTTCTTGTTTGTCACTATGAAGACATAAATAAAGTCTTTTTGGATAATGCTCCTCAAAATAGTAAACAAATTTATCCAAAAATCTAAAAAGAAATCACACAAGCTAAGTTGTTGCAACTGAGATTTCAAATGTCATAATTGATGAATTAAAAGATGATATATTCACAATTTTACTAGATGAATCCTGTGACGTTTCAGTTAAAGAACAGTTAATATTACTTCATGTTATGTTGATAAATGAGGTTGTGTTATTGAGAGTTTTATTGTGATTGTTCGTGTAGAAGAGACATCAGCTTCAACACTAATTAAAGAAGGCTGTTGAAAAACTTTTTGAAAAATATGGTTTGAGTGTGGCACAATTGCGTGAATAAGATTATAAAGGAGCTAGAATATGCAAAGTGAGTTTAATAGACTAAAACATTAATCATGAAAGAAAATTATTCATCTTATTATGTGTATTATTTTACACATCAACTCCAACTAATATTAGTTATAGTTGCAAAAAATTATGTCCAAGTTGCTTATTTTTTAATACCGTTACTAATTTGATAAATATCATTGGTAGTTCATGCAAAAGAAGAGATATACTAAGAGACAAATATTATCATAGAATTATTAAGAAACTAGAAAGCGAAGAAGTTACGAAAGGTAAAGATTCGAATCAAGAAATTGCTCTTGAAATGCCATGAGATACTCATTGGGTTCCCACTACAATTCACTCATTAGTTTAATTTTTTTATTTGCATATATAACTGAGGTCCTTGAGATAATAATACAAGAAGGATCTAGCAGTGAGCAAAAATATGAAGCATATGCCCTATTGATTATGTGTAGATTTTTAAGTTTATTTTCAATTTGCATATGATGAAGACTATATTTTGAGTTATAAATGAGATATCACAAGTACTCCAAAAAAAGGATATCGACATTATAAATGCATGACTTTGATATGAGAGATGATGGATGAGATACTTTGTTTAAAGAACTTAAATTATTTTGTGACAAGAATAATATAAATATTTCAAACATGACTGATACATTTGTGATGTAAGGAAGATCAAAGTGATGTACTGAAACTATCATAAATAGTCATCATTATCAAATTGAATTATTTTACATCGTGATTGATATGTAAATTCAAATGCTCAATAATAGATTTTGTTGTGGCCTAGGATATTCACGGTGGTAGAGTGAGTAAATTTTTTTTCTTAATAATGTACATATATCTAGCATACAAATAGAAGAGAGAAGTAAAACACCCAATCTTTTTACGTGGAAAGCTAAAAGAGGGAAAAATCACGAGGCATCGCCCAAGTGAAAGGATTCAACTAAATTTGAGTGAATTACAAATATTGCCCTGTCCCTTGACTTAGGAGCAGTGAAATTACAGTAGTTTGGAGAGTTAGGCTAAGGTTTAGCGACTATCGGGTGGAAGTCTAACAACGTCTGGGCAGAAGTTCAGCTGATGAGGAATGATCCAACAAAGGCCGGGTGAGAGTCCGACAATGCTCGACTACTAGGTGGAACTCTGGAGGCGGTCAGCGATGATCCGACGAATGTCGGGCTGAAGTCCGGAGGCGATTGACACCAGGATGGAAGTCCAATGATGGTTGGCGGCCAGGCAGTGGTTCGACGATGATCGGGCTGAAGTCTGGCAGTGGTCGGTAGCAGGGCGGTGGTCGGGCTGAAGTTCGCCTGCGATCGAAGGGCTGGCGATGGTCGGACGGTGGTCGGGCTGAAGTCTGGCAGCGATTGGTAGTCGGGCGATGGTGTTGTAGCTATTGAAGCTTCAGAGCTCTCTCCAATCTCTAGCCAAATGTCCCCTCATGTAGAGAGTGGGGGTTTATTTATAGATTTTCATGAGTGGCGCACCCCGTAAATATAGAGAAGATCTAGAGTAGGTTTGGAGTGCTTCATCAGATAGCCCGTATTGATTCCCCCGATCATAGAGCATTTATTGGACTTTTGAATGTCTTAGTGATATCAGAATTTGATGATATTGGGCTCGTTGGATTCTTCTCGTCGAGCCGCCCGATTAGACTATAAGTATGTCATGTTTGGAAACCATTTGCTAATCCAAATTGTAATTTGAACCTTCCAAAGTGCTTCGAGTCTTTGATTTGGACCCATTTGAGCTTGGATTGTGTCGAATTTGGTGTTGTTGGGTTCGTATTTTTGAGACAATCAGTTTGACTCTAAGTTTACTGAAATCAGAGTTCAGATGATCCCAATTTTAATTTTGAAAGTTTTCAACTTGATTTTGCCTCGAGATTCGTGCTAGATCAAGACTATTTTTTTTTTGTGACATATCAGGTTTGATGAAATTAATATAGAATTACTTACATGTGTGACGTGTTTGAATCGATGTCATTCATTTTCAGCTGTTGATAAAGAACAATTGTTATGCTTAGCAAAATTTTATTCGTCAGATTTTTTAGAAATGTGTCACATCGTACTAGACAATCAAATTAAAAATTTTATTATTGTTGTGAGATCGACTAGTGTATATATGAATTTAAAAGAACTTGAAGAACTTGTTCAAAAAATAACAGAGACCAGGAAGAATGATATTTATCCTATGGTGTTTCTACTTATAAAGTTTGCTCATATATTGTCAATTGCTACAACAACACTCAAACGAACATTCTTTGCAATGAATATTATACATAACTATTTATGCAATCATATGAGAAACTCCTAGATGAATGACTATTTAATTACTTATATTGAAAAAGATATATTTAATAATATTGAAAACTAATTTACTCCCAGAATTCCAAAACAACCAGTCATATTTGACAAGCCAATATCAAATTGAGCCATCATATGCCATACTTCGCTCAACACAAAACCAATCTAGCCATTTGAGTTAAAATCGAATTCACCCATAGTCGCATAGTTAATAGTCCTCGACTGGAGCCAATCGAGAGCTGATTGAAATGCAAGTAGGTTCAGCCGAGTGCGCCATTAAGATTTCATAATTGGCTACCGAAGAATTTTCTACTTGCTTTAAAAAAATATAATATCATATGACGATTTTTTAACAACCAATTAGAATAATGATATTATGTCATTTTCATAAAGTTGATGTGATGATCTACGCACCCATCAGATTTTCTTTTTGTCAAAGCTTTCACACGAATTTATTTTTAACTGTCTATTTTCCATAATATGTATAAGAACGCTGATTTTGTCTATCAGCGAAATGATAAATTATTATGTGCAGAGTCTAGATAAGAACAATCGTTCGAATTGTAAGATTGTGTGTACAAAAAATTGATATGTACTGTATACAAATTTATAAATCGTATGTACACTCACAATAGTCATATGTTTCAATGATTCTTCTGTCCAGACTCTCCCACATAATAATTTCTCCGTAGAAATCTATCTACCCAATTTTAAATTACTCTAAAGCATATTAGATTGAGTTATATGTTATTAATGATAAATAAAATTTATTTTAAAATAAAAAAAGAAAAAATCATACTAATTACTTGATAAATATGGCATCACGAAAAAATAATGAAGAGTAATTAACTCAAAACATCCATAAATCTGCCCAATTAGATACACACTTTGGGTAAGGGCAGTCATTTCACCGAACAAATAACAGAACTAGCAAAAAGAAAGCAGAGAAGATGAAGCGAAAAAACAATTGAAACAAAAGAAGAAAATCTCACACTCAACAGAGCCTAAATCGGCAACAAATCCGTATCCATCTTTTATCAAACGCCATTCCAAATCAGCCAATCTCACTTTCCCTTCTCAGATACTGCCGCCGCTGCCGCCATCGATTCCGTAACAGTGGCGAGCTTCTGTAGATTGAGCCGAACAACAGTATCAGCAAAGAGCCTGGTATCTTCCTCGGTGTTTCCTTCCGGCACATCGACGATATATGATTCAAGCACCACCGTCCACAAACCGCCGCCGCTTTCCCGATCTGATTCCCCGAACTCCGTCACCGATGTAACCGATCTGTAATTCGTAAGGCGGTGCTCGCCGCCGATGATGGTGAATCCGGTGACCCGCTGTTCTTCGTCGAGTATGTCGAGCCGCTCGGTGCTGGTGCTCGCAGGAAGGCCGGAGATGACTCTAACCTCGCGAAGGCTGCCGATGCGAACCTCGCCGCCGTCCATAATGGCGGAGCTGCGGATAAAGTGTTTGTATATTTGTGGGCGGTCGAATCGGCGAACCACAGACCAGACGGTCGCTGCCGGAGCCCGGATCCGTTGCGAGATCAGGGAGGAGCATTGACCGGTGCTTAAATGGTATCGGTGGTGGGCATCGATCGTCGATTGGAGGGATTCGTATTCCTCCGGCGTTAGGCCGGCCGGAGGATCGCCGTCTGCTGGCGGCAAAGGTGACTGCGGCGGTGAGCCATGGTATGCGTTGACGCTTTCCATTGCTTGGGCTGAGCTACTATCGCAGATGCGATACCGCAGGAAGGGATCGAGAGCTATTATCATAAGCCATATGCTGTGCCTTTGAAAGTTGGTTATTATAATAAGGAAAAAAGTTCGAGTGAAAACACGCAATTAACATACGTTTAGTATAATTTTTTTTTTTGGGAATGTTTATATAAATTAAAAAAAAATTAAAATTTTAGTATAAATTTTAAAACACCTAATTTTATTTTTAAACAAATATAATTTAAAATTTATTTGATTATTCGTGTATGATATTTATCTAAAATAAAATAATACTTAAAAAATTTTAATAATAATTTGAAAATTAGAGGTTATGTAAAGAGTGATAAATAATAAATGAGCGAAAAGATTACATCATAATTAGAAAATAATTATATTCGTATATTCTTATTAATATTCGTATATTCTCATAGTTTTTATATTTATATTGAGAGTAGTATAATTAAAAATGACAACTAATTTAGTTGAAAAAAATTAAAAAATTATTATCAAATACCTATTAACTAATTTTATTGATCTAAATTTAAAAGCAGGGCTAGAATTTTTTTCATGTGCGGCACAAATTATTGAATTTAAAAAATCCTCAATCTTTTCATCTAATAATGAAGAATAAATTATTGAAACAATGACACTGTAATAATCTAATACTGAATAATAAATTGATTTTCCAAATGTAAACATCATAAAAATTGATGGAATCAAATTTTCAAATATTACTAAAAAGTACAAATTGTAGAATCTAAATTCTGAAATAACATTGCAAAAATTATATAAACAAACATTAACTAGAATTCGACCCACTAGCAAACCGAATGACTCGAAGCTAACCAGTCAAATCGTTTTGGTTAAATTTTTAATAATTTATTAACTATAATGATTATGATAATTAAAAATGAAGATTATATCCACAAATAAAAAAATATTAAATGAATCATTTTTGAATAAATAATGGGTAGAATGTCAACCGAAACCCAACCCATTAATCAAAACTAGCTAGAAAACCTGACTTATCGGTCAGTTTAAATCTGAATATTTTGGATCGTGTCTACATATTGGATCATTTAATGAGAAGAATATATTTTCTTACATATTTAATTTTGAACTTCCTTTCAAGGATGTTGAAAATAAGAGAGAGAGAGAGAGAGAGAATCATCCTAACCAGCTCCAAAACCTTATGCCTAGAGCAAATGCAACGGCACTCTTACAAATGATAGTAGCAAGTCTACGAAGTTTAGCCATGGCATTCTTGAGAAACTCAATCTCCTATAATCCACCAACTTCGCCTCTGCAAATCCCTGTGCTTTGGAGTCAGTGTCGACGATTAAGATGACGAGGTCGACGAGAGGGGAAAGGTCTTCTCCCAAATGGGCTTTGCTAAATCCGCCATGCCTCCCAATGTCAAGTTGCAGGACAAATGAGCCACTGTCCTTATCTATCCCTTAAAAGGCCATCTCGATGACCTTCGCGCGCGTCTTCCTCACAAAACGCTACTTCAAGATGTCTTCCCACTCAAGTTGTATGTCTCGGTCTCTCTCTTTCTCTCTCTACATCTTTATCTAATTATCATAACTATATATATTGGGCCAATGGGGACACATGCCCCCAATGACCCCATGCCGGTTTCGCCACTGTTGAGTAGCATCAAATGATCATGTAAAATAATGATCAAATGACTGCAAACTTCAGTGTCATTTTTTAGAAGGTGATAACAATCGGGAAATTTAAATCTGATGATGATGTCTGAGCAGCAATCGTCGGGTGATAACAATTTGATGACAATAATAAGACGATCGTAATTTCTAGTGGTGACCACTGATGTCAATTAGGGGCAAAGCTTAGGATTATTCATATATCTAAACTAACTTCAATTATAGATATCTTTTATGTGTAAACTGATGATCCATTTATAATATTTTGGAGTAACAATAAAATTTTTTAGCCCAACTTCGTAAATACTTCATTGGACATTTCAAGTTAATCACATTAACCAGACTATTCTCTAGGTGTTTTAGTGCCATAATGATATTGAAATTAACATTCTCGAGCTTTGTTGAATTCCTCTTGTCAATGCTAAAAATTTAGGATTTTCGCAACAATTATTTGCGGTGGTTTGAAAACCGCCGCTATAGATTGGTATAGCCGCAGCTATCACCATTGCTAAAAACTTTAAAAAATTTAAGGTTTTCGTAGCAGTTTATATGGGTGGTTGCAAACTAATGCTTCCAAATTCCAATAAAGGCAATTTCAAAATCACTGTTATCTCTCCTCTCTCTCCCCACCAATTACAATGCCCTATCTCCTGCTCGATTGATCACGCATCCGACTGGGAGCTGCGATTATTTTAATTTCGTTCGCTTCGAACAAGGGAAAGGCACCATAATTGGTGTGACACCTCCAGGTTCAGCATCTGGATTTACCATTTCCTACCCAATTGAAACAAAATTGTAATGAGAGGATTTAGGGAGGAAGATGAGATTTTTTAGCCGCTTCGGATCGCTTTTAACCATTGGCCCATTTCAGAAAGTTGTCCGAATCAATGTAGGTCACAGTAGTCCTATCTAAATTTTCAAAAATATATAATTTTACCAAATTTTAGATTAAATTTATATTTTTGCTAGCAAAAATGCAGATAACTTTGCACTAAGCTATTAAACTTTTTATCTCTCTATCGCCGTAAATATTTTTGAATGCAATAATAATTAATTAAAAAGAAAATTTTAAAATTAATTATTAATCCGTTCAAAATAAAAAAAAAAAAGCAGGAAAAGACTCAAGAGTCATCTGAGAAGCTATTTTAAAAATATTATGGTGTCTTTCTACTTTTATGCTAGGTTTTTATGCAACTTTCGAAACAAAGCATCAATAGCTATTTATTTCGTTCAAAAAATTATAAATAGTTGGCAGAAAGTTATAGAGTCTAATCAACTTTCAAATAATTTATATTTTATTTCACTTTCTTCACATTCCTTGAGATTAAAGCTGTAAATGAATAGAGCCAAATATTATTTTGTTCATATTTGTTTATTTATCAAATTATTTAAACATGGCCTCACTATTTAAATTTTGTTTGAATTTATTTATTAATTTTTTTATCAAAATTAAATTAAAATTGATATAAATAATGCATATAAAAATTTAATTAAATGCATAAAAAATATAAAAATTTATATAAAAATCGTCAAATAAGAAATTAAACTCTTATTAAATGTGAAATTAATTGAGCTCTTAGCAATCTATTTAGCAAGTGTTTTTTTTTATTATTATTTTTTAAAAGTAATCAATATGATTTTTAAAAAGCCAAAATAACTTTGAGGTAATCTGACTATTTTTATAAATAATTATCTCTATCACCTGGCTGTCATCGTTATTGTCACTGTCTTACAGGCAGCCACCATGGCCATCGTATAAATCAACTTATTCAATTTTTAGTCAAAACAAAATTAATATATTATTAAGATATCGAATAGGTTTAGTTCAAAATAAAAATAAAATTAATAGCAAAAAATAAAATAATCCCAAGTGGCTCTTATGAGTTAATAATAATAGCAAAAAATCTCAAAATTAAAACACATACTTGACTCGACGCGAAACCTGATACAAAAAATTTTGAGTTCGAGTCAACCTGTTTTCCAGACCTGTCGGGTTCAGGTTCAAGGATCTGACCCATTTTTAAAATCGGGTTGGATTTGAATTAACATGAAAATTAGAAGTTGACCCGAATACAACCAACGTCTATTGGTTTAAAATTATATCTCGTGGGTGGGTGTCTGGGTGACAGTTGGCTCCAATGTCTCGACTCTTGTTCGGTCGTTCTCTCTTATTAACTTCTCAACTTTGTATGTTTCATTCTTGTCTATTGGCCTTTTGTTCATTTTATTCTGTCGGTTCTGTAGTAGATGTCAGTGCCTACGGCCTCCGACCTCGCACCTTTAGTCGCCAGCGAACTTTCAGGCCCAACATATTTTACATCTGTTTGTATCTCTTTTCCTATTTTATATTTTAGGGTTTTTGGCTAATTTTATGTTGATGGTTTTGGAGGTTATTGGGATTCAAGTTTTTTCACCTCATTTTTTGAGTTTTCATACACATTCTTTAATAATTTTAGGGTTTTTCAAAATTCTGCTTTATGTTTTACTCTAAAAGTTGTTGTTGGATTGTTACAACTTGCAAAGATATAAAGTTTTGTTTCTCAATTTTTATGGTAGTCGGGTTTAGGGTTTACCGATTTAGGATAAAATGGTGATTGCTTTTGAGTTCTCATAGTCTCTAACTCTCTGTTCTCATCTATGCCGACTGCTATTGTATTATTATTGTTATGCATTTATGCTTCTATGGTTGACTTGTTAAAAATGGTGAATTGTTCAGCCCTTTTTATGATATGATCTCTTCTGACTACCTGAGCGCTGACTACTATCAAACTATGCATCGTATGGTTCTACAATTATGGATGGTATGCTTCCCATATTTTAAACTCTTACTGCTTCTCGTCTCTTCTATGATTAGTTGGTTATCAAGTTATGTTGTGCACTAATGTATGGCCATGAACTCTGAACAATTCACCATTTATTGGAAGGAAATTTGAGTTTCATAATATAAAATTATAATTAGATTTTACTTTGATATGAAAAATTTTATTTAATTTTGGGGCTTGAGATTTCTAATGAGTGTATGCTCATATATTTTAATTAATTTTATTATACATATTTAAGAAGTTTCGTAAAATTAAGGGTGTGTTACTTCTAGAGGACTGAATTCATCATGCTACACCCCATGGTATAAGCAAAGTAAAAGTCCCAACTAAGATTGTCATGAGGAATGATCCAAGTAGAACTACAATAATTGACATGTAATTCTATTGTTTGTTTAATGAGAAAGATGATAGCTTGCAAGTTAAGGTTATATTTTGGTTAACTATGAAGGTCAGAGAGACGTTATTTTATTTATTTGGTAATTATGTTAGAAATGAAAGGCAATATTCATCGGGGCAGTCCTCAATATTCACACAAAGTTCTCAAAATTAGGGCTCAAATAGCAATTCTACCATAATTATTAAATCACAATTCTTACAGGT